CCAAAGAAAACATCTGTTTTTAACAAGGGAAAAATATTTCCTTCAATGTTGAAGTGTATTTCTAAAAAAAATGAAATGATATAATACCAAAGACACAGAGAAAAGCTTTGAAGTCAAGGACTTTTAATTTTTTCAGATAAATAACCACTTCTGAGTATTTGCGAACCATCATTGTTGCCAGCCACCTTGTCTAATTCTAATGAGAATTTTCAAAGTTCAGATTTTTTTTCTTTTGAAGGCAGGGTCTCAACCCTACTGCTGAGGCTGGAGTGTGGTGGTGCGACTGTGGCTCACTGCAGCCTTGAACTGAAGGGTTCAACCAATATTCCTGCCTCAGCTTCCCATGGACTTCAACTACAGGCACATGCCACCATCCCTGCTTTGTTTTTTTTTTTCTATTTTTTGTAGAGACAGGATCTGGCTCTCACTCAAGCTGGTCTGAAACTCCTGGCCTCAAGTGATCCTCCTGACTTAGCCTCCTGCATAGCTGGCATTACAGGCTCAGGCTGCCAAGCTCAAGGTGCAGTTGACAGAAGACATAATCTCATTAAAGGAACAGGTTGAATGATCTGCTAGGAAGAACGTGAACTGAATCCAGCCTGACATTTATATTCCCATGAGTTGAGATGAGTTTGCGTTGCAGAAAGATCTCACAAATTATCTAGGCTTAAAAGAAAGGCTTCTATGTATGATACTGTTTTTATTCTAGTGGTATGAGCTAAATCAGATCTTACTATACATATAAGTATAGAAAGAGCTTCTTTGACTTCAAGAAGCAAAATTACTTCTTTAAGACCCAAGAGGTATCTGAGCTAAACATTTTATCTTTACTAACAATCTCAGGGGCTAGATGCAGTGGCTTGCTTAAGCTCAGGAGCTGGAGACCAACCTGAGCAAAGAGTAAGAACCTGTCTCTACTAAAAATAGAAAAACTAGCCAGGCATTGTGGTGGGAGCCTGTAGTCCAGCTACTTGGGAAACTGAGGCAGGAGGATCACTTGAGTCCAAGAGTCCAAGCTAGGACACCACAGCACTCTACCCAGGGTACAGAATGAAACTGTCTCAAAAAAATAAATAAATGAAAAGACCCCCCCCCCCAATTTTAGAGATGGATAGGGCAAAGGGAAATGTAACATGGTAAAAATAACTCCTCTAGGTATAAGGTATTATTCTTGCATTCAGTTGGAGAAAATCTATCTTTTGTTACCAGAAACCACTTGTAAAAAAGACTCAAGAAAATGAATATAGTATAGATTTCAAAGACACACATATAATCTTATATTAATTGCTTATATTTCTTGGCTCAGTAAGATATAAATAAAAAGTCTGCATCTGACACAAGAGATAAGAAAATAAAATGATGCCCTTAGCCTTACTGCTCCTTTCATATTAAAAAACCAAACAATCCTATTTCAGGATCATTTAGTACAAAAGAAACAAGTAACCTCAGAGGCCCAATAAACTTTCTAAGCTTATAAGTATTTCATAGGAAGGAAAGCAATACTGATTTGAATACATTAAAACACAAAAAACGTCCGGGGAACATGCTCTTTGCACAGATGAAAGCTCTCATATATGTTAACATTAGAAAAATTTATCTTTATTTTTTAGAGATAGTTCATAATAATTCCATTTCAATAGAAAGAACATATTAAAATCTGAGAAAATATTAAAACATCACAAGCTTTTCAGTGAACAGATGCACACACAGGTGCAGATGAGCATCACATGGTTATTTTCAAACATGCCTGTTACTGTCTCGTTTACCAGCGTTGACCCTGAGACAGACACAGTTCTGGGTACACAGTGAGTGCTCTAGAAATATCTGTTAGGTGATTAAATGGATGTTGATGAAAAAGCCCCAGTTTATACATCATTTGGTAGTAAAATAAAAAAAAATGTAAAAATAAAATGTGGCTTTGAAGAACAGGGATTTAGACACGTAACATCTTTGATGCATACTACATGTGCAGGTGAGGAAACTGCTTTCAAAACTTACACCAGCGTCTTGTCCTGGAAATACAAAAGCACTTACACGATGAGAAAACAGTAGAGGGATGGAAGGCACATTAAAAACTGGCTTGAATTGCTAGGGCAAACTCATTTGTATTAATGCCAAAAGGAACCAAGAAGATGGCCATGGGTCAACAAAATCAGGTGACAATGAATACAAAAAAATCAGAGGTGTAAGGTCATGTGTTATGGAGTCAGTTGGGGAATGAATCTTTAGGAAATGCTCTTTGAACTTGCTCTGCTTAGTAGTAAGGAGTAGGACCTTATTTTAAACAAAAAATAAAATAGTGTTTTGTTTTTACTTTAGAGGGACAGTGAAGAGAGAAAAAGGAGGGTAAGAAGGGAAACTTTGATATAAAAGTGCTTACAATGTTTGAAATTTGACTTTTGGAGTCAGGGTGTACGGTTATTGAGTATGACAGTCTGAAAGAATTCTGGAACATTAGGCAAACTGATCTTTCACCTGATGGCAGAAGATTACCAGGCAAAGTAACATTTGTTGAACACTGAACTATTCTGAATTAAAGAAAATACTGTAACATGTGAAGTATGACAGAATTTCCATAAAACTTTTCTATAATTATTGAAATGAGATAAAAAATATTTTTATTTACTAAAATGAAACCAAAGTGAAATAACTTTTAATTTTAAAAGGATATTTATTAATTACCTAACTATTAATAGCTAGCTATTGAAATAATTTTCTATTTTCTGTTGTTTTGATTTGTAACATATGTACTGAAATTTGTATCCCTCGATTCCTATGTAATGCTAACTACGTATCATGTATTGAAAAAACTTACTAACTAAATTCCAAAGTTTAGTTAAAATAGTAGGTAACACTTGATTTATCCAAAAAGCTATAAATATATTCACATTTTCAACTGTTTAAATTTTTAAAATTCTATTTATTTTTGAGACGGGGTTTTGCTCTTCTCCCAGGCTGGAATGCAGTGGTATCATTGTAGTTCACTGCAACCTCAAACTCCGGGACTCAAGTGATTCTCCTGCCTCAGCCTCCCCTGTAGCTGGGGATGACAGCCATACGCCACCATGCCTGGTTAAATTTTGCCTATTTTTTTGTAGAGACAGGATTTTGTTCTCACTCAGGCTAGTCTTAAACTCTAGGCCTAAAGCAATCCTGCCTCAGCTTCTTGAAGTGCTGGGATTAGGTGTGTGACTCTTGAATCAGACAAAAATCTCTTTATTAAGGTATTTTGTGCCTGACCTTATACCTTCCATAAGGAATAAAAAAAAGAGGCTTTGGACTTACAGTTAGTTATGTGAACTTCTGAGATTAAAGGAAAACCAGATTGTTCAGAATAAGAAAAGAATGGAGAGAAATCTGAGCTCTCACTCCTAAGCAAAAGTTGAAAAGATAATAATGGCTTTTAAATATCATAAATGAATAGAACAATTTTAACATTTAATGTACTCAACCTTAAAGTTTTTACTTAATTTGTTTTTATTTATTTATTTTTTTGAGACAGAGTCTCACTTAGTCACCCTTGGTAGAGTGCCATGGTGTCACAGCTCACAGCAACCTGAGACTCCTGGGCTTAAGTGATTCTCTTGCCTCAGCCTCCCAAGTAGCTGGGACTATAGGCACCTACCACAACACCCAGTTACTTTTAGAGACAAGGTCTCACTCTGGCTCAGGCTGGTCTCAAACCTGTGAGCTCAGGCAATCCACCCACCTTGGCCTCCCAAGTGCTGGGATTACACATGTGAGCCACCGCACCTGGCTTTTTACTTAGTTTAAATTACTATATCAAGATTGACTATAATCTAGCTTTTACCTATTTTATTTAGATTTACTCAGTGTAGTTAATAAAAATTCCTATTCCCAAATGATAAGTGACTACTGTGAATAATTACAACTCCATAAAGGAAAGGTATATTACTATGATCATATAATAATAATGTCCTGATGATGAAAAAATGATAACAATGTCACATTTATTCATAAGCAAACAGGGCAACTGATTGAGATATTTACAATGAAGAACTCATACTTAAACGAATATAGACCTTTTTATTCTTCCCATGATATAAATGAAAAATTTCCTTTAAAATGCTTAGTTTTATACTTTTAAAAACTTGACTACACATCAAGCTTTATTATCTATCATTTTCTCTCTCAGTGATAGATGCTTATATCTTCTATCAAAGTAGTAATGATCATGTGATTAATTACCACAGATTTTCTTAAAAAGAGATTTGTGTCTAAATTCAAAAATCATCTCCCAAATTGCCATAAACACAAATTATACTTAAAATTCTACACAAAATTGAGTTGCTATCATTACCAATCATAAGGGTCTTATTAAAGTTTTAGTTTTCTGAGAAAATTATGATACTGTAATGTTAAAAAAAATAGAGTCTGGATAAATAGCTAATTCCTCTAATATATTCTTAATCTCAACATAATAGGTCTGCAAACCCAGTCTTCACATTGTTAAAAACAACTGTTTTCCTATGTTATACTTTTGAATGTATGACTGACCAAGCAACATGTTTATACCTGGGCAATGGAAAAAGATTTAATTTCACTATTAGCTGAGAGGCATGACCATTAATGAACAAGTTAATGGAGTTCTCTGGGAAGAACAAGTAGGCCAAATATCTGCATTTAATTATTAGAACTTAGTGAAATTTTAATGATTTGGCAATCAAATTCTGAACTTGGCATAGAACCTCTCCAATTCTGGCAGTTTCTTCTATCAACAATAGTAAATCTAGGTATAGGAGCAATTTCTAGAGTATGGAGCTAAGTAGGAACTTCTATTTGTTTTTTGACAGATGTCTAAATTTTAAGGTTTTTTCCATCAGGCATGTCATCATAGACATGTTGTGATGTACTGAGAGAAACACCTCCTCATCATTAAACTAGTAACCGATATCTCCTTTGAAGTCTATGTATGTATTTAAGCCTGTACCTCTGTCCTCACCCCATTCACATTCACATTTACTCTTCACACCTCTTACCATGGGCAGGTCTTTCAGGATCTGTATTCCATCACCAGGACCCATGTGTGCTATGTGGTTAAAATTAGTTGGGTTAGAAATTAATTTATTTCTCATTTCTGGATCTCGTAGCATCTCCCTATAAGATAAAACATCTGTTTAGACATTTTTTTCCATAACCTAGATAACTTAAGAAAAAAATTAAGCATACTTGATTTTTTTTTTTTTTTTGCAGTTTTTGGCCAGTGCTGGGTTTGAACTGACCACCTCTGGTACATAGGGCCAGCGCCCTACTCCTTTGAGCCACAGGTACTTTAATTTTTATAAAAATAATACCATTTAATTATGTTAATAAGGATATAATCAGAATAACAGAATATACTCAATTAAAAATTTACTTCCTTAGAATATTTTGTTTTAAATTTTAAATAAAAGATCTTATGATTTTGTGTGGGAAAATTGAGAGAGTCCTTTTAAATATTTAGAAATCAAAGAAGTTCTACTGTGTTTTACAGATAATTCTGAACATTTTATGTATCTTTTAAAAAATAACTCAAATACTTTAGAAATATTTTTCTATGTATCTGGAAATACTACAAGCTTATTTCTGTTTGTTAATGAAGAGAACACTTAATCTGAATTCTTACACACACACAGATTTATTACATACACAGATATGTTCTGCATTTATAGAAAGGCAGACTTTCCCCAAATTATAACCACTCCATATACATACAGAAGTGAACAAAAATATGGTACCTTAATCCAGTGCATATTCACAATTTAGAAAGTATTAATTAAAGTGACACTGAAAAGTTACATTCATTATTGCAATTTTGACACTATTGACGAATGACAGATTTTTAGATGTCAAATTTTCCATCCAAATCAAATACAATCTATCAACAAACAGTCCTTCAGATGCCACAAGCATGACAGGTATAAATTAATTATCTACCTCCTCTGTTGCATCCTTTCCTCTTCTGGGACTCTGAAGGAATAGCGCCGCTTATTGTTAATATTTCTAACCATTTGTTTCCGACTATTATCTGATGTTTCAGGAACTACCAGTTCATCCCCTTCTGTTAAAAAAAAAAATACAAAAAACAATGATGTTCTCTAAACCAGTGGTCCCCAACCTTTTTGGTAACAGGGACCGGTTTTCCATGGCGTGGGGAGGGCTTAGATTCTCATAAAAAGCATGCAACCGAGATCCTTGCATGTGCAGTTTACAGTAGGGTTCCTGCTTCTGTAAGAATCCAACACTGCCGCTAATCGGACAGGAGGTGGAGCTCAGGAGGTCAAGAGAATGATGGGGAACGGCTGTAAATACAGATGGAGCTTTTTGCTGGCCTGCCACTCACCTTCTATTGTGTGGCCCAATTCCTCATAGGCCATAGACCAGATGGGCCCTGGTCTGTGGTCCAGGGGGTTGGGAATGGCAACTCTAAACAGTTAACATGCTTTTTATCCACTAATTCCTAAGACAGTAAAAGTGTTAATCAACTGTACAAGTACATGCAATTCTGATTTTTAAAAGTTGTGTGTTGATAATCACAGTAAATAAGCAATAATTTTCTACAGAACATATGTAAAAAGATATATGGTGAAATTAAACACAGCTTACCAAATATATTTTTTACTTCTATTTGATCGTATAATCTAACTGAAGAAAACTGTAGATGCCTTGGTATCTTGCCATATTGACTAGCCACCCACCCCAATATGTCTATACTATCTTCTCCCCCCGGGTATTGGTTTCAATGGCTTAAGGTGTTAAAGAGCTGCTACTGTTAATCTGCACAGCAAACAAGCATAAATACCAAGATAGTCATGTTAATAATAATTAAAATTATTTTTCCATCATAAAACATTTCTTCACAAAGTTCACACTACAAGATGTGAAGTAAGGAAAAGGAATTACACTCCCACTATTTTCTTTGTACTTAAAGGTAGGAATTTGTTGCTATTGCCACTCTTCCAATCTTGGGGATAAATGATTATTTAATCACATACACCTAACAACCCAGTGATTATCTAATCCTATGTCAATTTTAGTATCTGAAGTAAACAAAATTGTCCACCAGGGATTCCCCAAACATGTTGGACTATGTGAAAATACCCTAAGAATAAGACAGATAATGGCATCCCACATAGTGTGACAGGAGATGCCATTAGCTAAATAAGATAAGGAACAGGAGAAAAGACAGTATTAACAAGTGTTCAACACCCCAAAAGCTGAAGTAAAAAGCAGGAGGTGGGAGGAAGACAAATGGGCCTGTAAGGGAGCAAAAGCAGGTGATTAGCAAAAAAGTGACATGCTTCTTGTAGTGTAAGATTAGTTTCCTGACAACAAAAAGTAACAGGACAGAATGTGGGGTTTTGGAGAGCTGTGGCGAGGTGAGACTAGATAGCCAGAGGGCTGCAGGAGCACTTCAGCCTCTTAAGAGATGAAGGAGAAGGCAAGACACAGAAAAAGAAAGGAATTCTTAGAAATGGGACTTCCCTCCTTTGTCAAAGAACAAGACAACTGTATTGATTTTTGTCAGCCTGCAGTAGAAAGAAGAAGAAAGAAAAGTTGGTATACGTTTTGTCCTATAGACACAAAGTGGGTATGGACATAGTTCATGACTAGCAGGCCACATACATTGAGCAGAGGATAAAACCAATCTCATACAAATATCTAGAGTTCCTCTAAGAAACGGAATACAAGCATACCTTGGAGATATTGTGGGTTTTCCTCTAGATCACCACAATAAAGCAAATATCATGATCAAGAAAAGTCACACAAATTTTTTGGTTTCCCATTGCATTTGGACAATTAGTTCATGAACCCATCCTAGAAAAAATGCTACATATACCACCGCTCAGTCTCACTATGGTTACCTTTGCGATAATCCCTTAAGAAGCTATGCACTGATGTTAGCACCTAGTCCACCCTTCAAGGCCAATTTCGGAATTCTTTTTTTTGGAATGGCTGTGAGAGCTGTCACTGTGTGAGGTCTAACAATTAAGTTTGTCAACTTGTCCTAGAAAAAGAGTCTGCCATCCAAGCTAGAGTGCTGTGGCTTCAGCCTAGTTCACAGCAACCTCAAACTCCTGGGTTCAAGTGATCCCCCTGCCTCAGACTCCTAAGTACCTGAGACTACAGGTAATTACCATAACACCTGGCTAATTTTTCTATTTTTTTAGTAGATGAGGTCTTGCTCTTGTTCAGGCTGGTCTGGAACTCCTGAGCTCAAGGGTTCCTCCTGCCTTGGCCTCCCACAGGCATGAGCCACCGCACTTGGCTGCCTTCACTGTCGTTTCAACAGTGTTCACGGCATCTTCACTAGGAGTAGATTCTATCTCAATAAATCACTTTCTTTTATTACGCGTAAGAAGCAACTCCTCAACTGTTCAAGTCTACCATGAGATTGCAGCACTTCAGTCACATCTTCGGCATCCACTTCTGATTCTAGTTCTCGTCTATTTCCCCTACTCATGCAGTTACTTCCACCAAAGATGACTCGGAAGATCCTGAATCCCTCAGAGTCATCTATGAGGGCTGGAATCAACTTTTTCGAAACTACTGCTAATTGTTGATATTCTGACCTCCTTTCATGAATCCCAAATGTTCTTAATGGAATCTATAATGGTGAATCCTTTTCAGAATATTTTCAGTCTATTTTGCCCAGATCCACATAGAAATCACTACCTATGGCAGCTATAGCCTTACAAAATGTATTTCTTAAATGTTAAGACTCCAAAGTTAAAATTATCCAAACTGATCCACAAACTGCAGAATGCATGTTATAGAAACAACCATGAAAACAACATTCATCTCCTTGTACATCTTCATTGGAGCTCTTAGGTGACTGCTATATTGGTAGTGAACAGAAATATTTTCAAAGGAATCTTTTGTGAGCAATAAATCTCAATAGTAGGCTCGAAATATTCAGCAAACCATGCTAGAAACAGATGTGCTGTCATCCAGGCTTTGTTGTTCCATTTATAAAGCACAGAGTAGATCTAGCATAACTCATGAGGGCCCTAGGATTTTTTTTTTTTTTTTTTTTGAGACAGAGCCTCAAGCTGTCCCCCTGGGTAGAGTGCCATG